CTAATGAGCCTCTTGATGAAAGTGAAAGAGGAGAATGAAAAAGTTGGTTTAAAGTTCAACGTTCAGAAATCAAAGATCATGGCATCTGGTCCCATCACTTCATGGCAAATAGATGGGAAAACAGTGGAATCAGTGGCAGACTTTATTTTGGGGGGCTCCAAAATCACTGCACATGGTGATTGCAGCCATGAAATTAAAAGACACTTGCTCCTTGGAAGAAAAGTTATAACCATCCTAGAAAGCATATTAAAAAGGAGAGACATTACTTTGTCAACAAAGGTCTGTCTAGTCAAGACTATGTTTTTTCCAGTAGTCATGTATGGAGGTAAGAGTTGGACTATAAAGAAAGCTGAGCTCAGAAGAATTGATGCTTTTGAACTGTGGTGTTGGAGAAGACTCTTGAGAGTCCCTTGGACTGCAAGGAGATCCTAAAGGAAATCAGTCCTGAATATTCATTGGAAGGACTGATGTTGAAGCTGAAACTCCAATACTTTGGCCACCTGATGTGAAGAGCTAACACATTGGAAAAGACCCTGATGTTGGGAAAGATTGAAGGTGAGAGAAGGGGACGACAGAGGATGAGATGGTTGGATGGCATCACCGACTCAATGGACATGAGTTTTGAGTAAACTCCAGGAGTTGGTGATGGACAGGGAGGCCTGGCACACTACAGTCCATGGGGTCGGAAAGGGTCGGACACGACTGAGCGACTTAAGTGAGTATGAGTGAGACAAGTTACAGGTGAAAATTTTCTGCTATTAAGAGAGAAAAAAATGAGGTACAGATTTTTTTTTTCTTTTTTTTAATGTTTATTTTTGGCTGAGAAGAGTCCTAGTTGGTGCATCAGGATCTTCCTTGCCTCATCCTTGTGGGTTCACTCTAGTTGTAGCGCGGGCTCAGTAGTTGCTATCTGGGGGCTTAATTGTCTGTGGGATCTTGGTTCTCCAACTAGGGACTGAACTCCCCACCCTTGTATTGCAAGCCTTTCTTAACCACTGGACCACCAGGGAAGTCTCCCACAGATTTGAATTTTAAAGATTACTTTGGGTTTGTTGGCTAGATAGAATTTGAGATACCTGCCAGACGTTACGTATGTTCAGCTTGAGACAACTTTATAATCGATAGTTAAACTATATGACATTGAACACAAAAGAACCTTGTGAGACGCAAAGACAAGTTCAGGACTAGAGGGACTTGGTGCTTTAGTGTGAACTCATGGGGAGATTTCACTGGAGTGTGTCAATAGAAGACACGGCTCTTGGCCTTCGGAATCTTCCTGTCTAAGAGGAAGCTTATCTAGTGACATGCTTAATAGATGGGTGACACGGAGCAGTAAATCACAACATGTTCACAAGTGAAAAGTGACGAGGTATTCAGCTCATGTGTGCTAGACAAACAGTAGATAAAATTCCTCACTGAAGATACCTATGGTATGTCTTTTGAGTAAGGTTAATAATGTGGAATATTAGCACTTAGTTTATAGACAAAGAAACCAGTGTTCCTCCTTCATAAGAACATTATTCCCAAAATGCATAAAGTTTCTTACATGGATGATAAATGCTCTACCCAGACACTTTTACACCACTGACATTACAATATAGAGTAAGATTTTTTCATTGTAAATAATGTTAAATGTTGCAAGTAAATGTTTTGTTGTTTGTTGCTGTTGTTTAGTCATTAAGTCATGTCTGACTCATATATATGGAATCTAAAAAGAATGATACAAATAAGTTAGAAAACAGAAATAACAGCCTTAGAAAACAAACTTAGAGTTATCAAAAAGGAATGAAATGAGGATGATAAATTTGGAATTTGGATTAACAGATACAGACTACTATATAAAATAAACAACAGAGACTTACTGTATAGCACAGAAAACTGTATTCAATACCTTATAATAACCCATAATGAAAAAAAATCTTAAAATAAACATACATATATGTATGCCTGAAACTAACAAATCATTATTAATCCACTATACCTAAATTTAAAAAGTGCCTGCTGTTTGGCAAATAATAAATAAAATAACATTTGTTTTAATAAGAATTTACTAAGTGCCAGGCACTGTTCTAAGAATTTTGTGAATATGAATTCACTTAATACTTACATTTATGAAGTTGACACTATAACTACCTCATTTTTTTGGATAAGGAAAATAATTCACAAACTGTTAAGAAGC